ACATAAATGACAGTTTCATGCACCTGCCAGACCAACGTTTCTCATGGATTTCATCTCTTCCCCTATGGAAACTATCTCTAACCATTCCTGTCACACTTCTCAGTTCCCTTTGAGATTTATCTTGGTTTTTGAGCTGGGACAATTCAGGATTGCAGCTGGAGGTGTGCCATGGATGTAATACAACAGCAGACAAACCTTTATTTTCTTCTCCTTAACATCCTTTAACCCATTTGCCCACTGGATCACTTCTGCACTTCAAACAGCTGCTTGCATAAAGCTACGGCACCAATGTCATGATCTCTCTCCTGAGCACACGACTTCCTGAGCACAGGACTGTAAAGTCTGCTATTGCACAGGCTGGGGTAGGAACGCCCCCTCAAGTCTTTACAGGCTACACCACCAAATTTGATCTGCCGTGTTGTCACCTAGCTCTCCAATCCTATTTGAATTCAGCTACAAAGGTGCTGGAGTCCACCCCGCTGCAGCAGCAGTTAATAAACACCACTGAAGAGTCCACAAAGACTCCCAATGTCCAGTAAGTCTGACTGTGTTGAAACAGATGCAGCAGCTTATTCTTACAGGCTGAGTAACATTATCAAGTGTGATCAAGCTGTGCTACAAACAGCCGGCGGCAGAAACACTCTGCTAGAGATAGCAGCTCAGAACCGAACCAGCGAGTGAACGTGAGGGATCAGCCGAGGGTGGATGGGCCGCACTGAATGCGATTCTGTTCTACGAGCACATTCCACATCCTCCATGCTGGTTCTCCTGAGTTCTGTCCCGCCAAAGAGAGATTAGAGTGAATTCACCTTTTACCTTTGTCTACGAGGAAACTCCACTTCACTGTCTACTTCGCCCTCTTCCTCTTCTGAAGAGTCATCACCGCTCTGGCAGAAAACAAGGACAAGAATGGCATCACGTGTGTGAAAGAACGAACATGCAACTACGTGGTTGCCCCTTGGTCCTCCAGGACAAAGTCACTGTGCCAACGGGCCACAACAATCTAGACAAGAAAATAACCTGCATATCAGTGAAAACTGACTCAGACATCTTCTTACCAGGGGATTATTTCAGGCAGCCTCAATGCTGCCATTTCTGAATTTGGAGTGATTGACTTTGAAACACACTGGAGTACTTTAGCAGGCACTTGAGTGCATAACGTTCCAGATTTTTACAGAAGCAAATCAAGTAATTAGCAGCATATTGAAAGCCACATAAATTATTGAGCTGATCTGGCACTCTTGGCTTTACAATTTCAACCCTCTCCTACATGAGCCCATCACAGAGGAGGATGGGAGATGACACAAATTTTGCTGGTGGGTTTCACCATCTAAGAAAACTTAAGGTTTGTTCCATTCTCTACCTTGGTGAGCACAGAGCCTTTATTCTCCTTTTCCCATCCACACCCACATGCTGCACTCTTGGTTTTTACAGCCTCCTCCTATCCTACCTAACCTGCCACCCCTTGTTCAGACTCAGCCTCTATCTCATCCCATCCCCTTGTAATACAAGGCCTTTCTTCCTCCCTTCTGGGCCCAAACCACGCTCTTGGTCTGGTATTCATCCCTTTTCCCTTCACTTTTCCACCCAGGCCCAGTTTTCCTGCTCTTTGAGCTCCACTCAGACTGGTTCCTACTTCTCTCATCACCTGGATGGAAGCAAGAGGAATGAAGAACTGTTTCTGTACAACTGGGCCCTAACATCTTCCTGACTCTTGTAAAATCTTCACAAAATACATGAGAACTATGACTTGCAGTCAAGGGGGGACAGTTTCCAGCAGGTGCATAAAGGGCACGTCCCCAAGACCAAGGCAGACACTGAATTTCTGTTCCAAGGCACAGCAGCACTGCAGATACTCAATGAAACTGCTCGATGATATTTAACATCATCAAAAGAATGCATGTACCCCCTCCTTTGTTTTGGGAAAGGCTTGATAACGTTTTGAGACTGTTTCAACAACAAAAGTTCAGCAGACCAAGTTTCAGCTTAAACAAAAACTGGCTGAATTGCAGGTAACAGAACTAGGCCCTGTCAGAGCCACATCTGACAACCCCCGTTGTTAGCAGGATGCTCCGCCATGCCTACTGTACTTCTCACTAAAACTGACCTTAACAGTCTGTCCAGATCACAAAGCAAAGCTCAGACAGGCATGATTTCTTTAAGAGAAAGTTGCAGACATAACTGTACTACTATGTGTGTGGGAAACATGGCTTTGCTACTATCCTACATCCACTAGCTACACACCAAAGAGGAGCAAGCTTGCTTTCTTCTCCGAATGACTACGCGTGGTCCTTACCTTCTGAAGGGGTCTTGCTTTGCAAGGTAGCACGGAGGAGGCCATGTGCTGGGGAGTGCCCAGGGCCGACGCTGACTGACAGTTGCTGTAGCCCTCTTCCTCCATCTTCTCCATGAACTGCGCATTTTCGTACAGGGAAGCAGACGTTGGGGATTCAGAATGGCTCATCCCTGTGTCAACAGACGACATCTGCACCTGACCACTGTCCTCCTCCCTGCACTGAAGACAGGAATTATATGGATCTGTTTTGCAACACTCCCAGTGATCAGCTTTGCTTTCCTTGCTCTCCAGATTCCTTCGGCAATCTGCCTCCATGGCAGCAGAGATGAGGTCGGGGCTGGAACCCGACATCCGCCTTTGCGCGTGGTTACTGAGAGGGCTCCGCAGCGCTGCTGCGGGGCCAAAGTACCGCAAGTTGTTTGCGCAGTTGGCGATATCTTGTCCGTGGGCATGAAGCCGTGTGTGATGGCCGTGGGGATGGCTGTGGCCAGGTTGCTGCGGTAGGCTGGGATGGTGAGAATGATTATGAGGTGGAGGTGGGGGTGCATCATCTTGCACTGGCTGGTTTTTCAAGATCCCTGCAAAATCATTGTAGCTGCCTTTGCTGTTCCCTCGGCGGTGACGTGGCTTACTGCGGTAGCGGCTTTTGCCACTCAGCGTTGACATTTTGGGACTTCCTGAGACTGGTGAACCATTGGACGCTGCTTCTGTGCTTGGTATGCCCTCTGACTTCAGAAGATCTGGCCTGAGAGACAGTCAGCAGAAGTTACATGTTAAACCACAAACAAATAAATGACATTGGCTCGGCAGCAAGACGGAAAA